CTACAATGAATTATTTTCGAAGCTTGATCTTAATCAATCGGAATACTATTCAGAAACAATAACGACTCCAAGACAAAATCTTATAATTGTGTTATTTAACAAAAACGCATATTTATGATCCAACTATTATAATACATAAGTAGGTAACTATGTAGGTCACAATGTTGTGTCGAATAGACTAGTAAGTAAAAATCAATTTCATAATTAAGTATTTTGTCACATTTAACTGTAAATATTCCCAAAACGAACAAATATTTTAACTATTTTAAAGTTGAGTAAATATAACAATGTAGTTTGATATAAAACTAAAAATGAAATTATAAGCAAAGATGGATAGTGGTTAACAGTGGAATCCAGGACGTGCGTTTCGTCTTATTTGGGGCTCGTCAGATGGATGTACCTGCATCTCAGAGTTGATGTTCATTCTGGGACTCGAATCCAGTATCGTTCGCTTCAAACGCCATTGCGTTATCCACTCAGCTACTGAGTCCTGATAGCCACTTGCTTGTGCAATGGGGTGAAGTTTAAATTCATTTAGTATTGTTTGTTTGAATCTTCCAATTGATGTTTAGGATTGCAACTGGTCAGTCTCTAATTGGCATATGTGCATACTGTGCGTATTGTAAATTTAATTTTGAATACATCACATTTAAGTAAACCCAAGATATATCAATGACAATGTTTGATCATGAGATCTTAAGATGATGATCTATTAGTTCATAAAATAAGAACAATTAACATTGTGAGATACAGTGAATTCATTTCACTAAATGGGCTCTTAATCTTCCGCATACTTTTTATAACTATTACATTTAAAAATGAAACTATTGTAAGGACCTTTTAATGTGTGACTCAGTTTATTAGTAAAACTAATCATCATCACTAATTTCCATACTCATAAAAGTTTAATTCATACAGCAATAAAACTAATGACATAATCCTCCACTGAAATGACATAATTACTAGTATTTATAAAAAATAAAGCTATCAACTGTTGTGAAAGAGAACCCAGAAAAGATAAGATTAAATAAATAAGCATTATCCTACAACTTCGTCGTTCTTGATTCCTACAATATAATCAAAATAAGTAAATGTATAAAAGTTACAACCTTCATTAGTATAAACTTAAATAATCATATTTTCTTTTTCTTTTCATCTTTGTACCAGATCATCTATGAATGGATTTGTGATGGAAATCCCAACAGGCGATCTGTAGTGACTTGCACAACCTAAAGATAACTGTTCACTGATTAGAATATTCTGGAGAGCCATTGAAAATTTAGAAAAATCAATGAATACCTGTTTTTTTTTAGTTTAAGATTCCTTTATATATCAGAGTAGCTCATGATAGATCTAGACTTCCAAACTGGGATCTAAAAGTGTACATTTCCAACTACAACCTATCAGTGATAAACAACAACCATTGTTCTGCTGTTACTGATGATAACTATTTTACTTGTGGCATGGTTTAACTGTATACATCCCAACCTATTATTACTACTTTGGAAACCCACTTTAAAGATAATCCCTAGTGAGTAAATAATTCTGTGAAAATCTCTTGCTGTATGATAAAAATATTTCCATATAGTATACATCACACTCTTTAAACTACTATTCGTTTAATGATTCTAGTGAAGAAATACTAAACTGTCAAATCAATTGTATTGAGAGAGGTGAAGTTAAACATAAGTGTTACTGGTTGATGACTACATTTTAATTACACAAGAATAAGTAATTATTCATTTAATGTCTATTAGCAAATGATAAAAATTTTCATTACTGCTAAAGAAGAGTTGAAAATACTGAAAATTGAGTGGACTAAGTTCTAAGACCTAAAAATTTTTTTTGTTCACATTATCCTCAGTGTACTTGAGGACTTTCAGTATATATATATATATTAGATTGATCAATTCAAAGACTATTGTACTTCAAGAGATTATTTGAAGGACTGGAAAAATAACTATCTATTCCGTAGAATAATACTTAGGTTTAAATTATGATGAAAGATAATAAAATGAAGTACATTAGACAAAATTGTAGATATTAGACGAGGAAATAACTAAGGTAATTTATGACCTCAACAAAAAAAGTACCGAGAAAACATTAGGAATGAAATCAACTGTCATGTTTAGAAAACCTTAATTAAATTCTAAATGGCCATAAGTTATCTAGTAAACTTTTGACTGAAGTTAAATGAAATCTATATCAATCATCTAATTTGTAGACCTGAATTGGTTTAATCTTAAATTTAGGGGGGATTTATAACTTAAAACAATGGATTCAATCAGTGAATTTTATCAGTATGAGATTGTAGAGATTGTTGATTTTCTTTTAAATCACAAAGCAATCTAGACAACCATTGAAATCTTGGAAGCATTAGACAGCCGTTTCGTCCTAGTATGGAAATCCTTTTTTAATTTATCGTTAATGCTTCATTGTCATAGTAGGTGACTCAGTTAACATTTATTTTACCAACTATTACGTTTGATTGATATGTGCTACTAATGTCATCAGTATAAATTTCAACATGAGATTATTTTTTATCAAACTGGAAAATAAATTTATATTTCGAAGTTTACCGGCGCATTCAGTCAATGGTTCACTATGTGCTTCGGCTTTTCATTTAAGCTTGCATGGACTGTTAAAATGACTTACTGTCAGACAAGTTCATTGTAATCTAAAAGGTGTGAACAAGTTCTTATACTAGAAATTACTATACAATTCTTCAGTGTTTTTATAAAAACATTAGAATTCCCTATCTAATCATGTTTAAATCCAGATCTTATCAGTTGTTGACGTGATACCAAACAATTTATGGTAAAAACCAGTTACTATGTTGCTTTTTCACGTAATTACTGAATTAAGGCAAAATAATTTAATCTGTGATGAGTGACGACGAATTAAGTTAATTTAAATGGTTATTAATAACTAGACTCTGGTAAAATTATTGAGCGATTCAATAATCAATAGCTTTTAAACGGCTTTCTTGCTTATGCCTGTTCAAAATAAAAAAATAAGTTACACCTTTAAAGTAATGAAAGTTAGTAGAACTAGACTAATCTAAGAGTAGTAGTCACGGAATATGAGTGAAGAACTTGGGGGGGGACTATGCTCTGTAATCGATTACAATGGCATTCACTCATTACTTCGATATTGAATTCTGATTTTCATAATAACTGGTTATAGAATACACAAAACACAGATTAAAGACAAAGTCATCCCTGTAACGATCTTGAGCAGTGGAATATATTTATAAATTAAAAATTTCCAACGTATTAGTTGAAAGTCTAGTCCTAGGTTCTTCAAGATAATAATCTCAAGTATACTGTTATTAATGCCCACAATTGTGTTCAATTGAATGCATGATAAGTGAACAATTTTCCTCTTTTTATTTATTCCGATGATACCAGTAACTGTATTCAGTTTACTTTATTGAAAGGGCTTAAATTCCTTCGTTAATCACGAGTTGTTATTTCATGTCAATCTTTCTCTCAGAAGTCACTAAACCTAAGTATAACCATCGAATGTGGATAAGAATTACAAGCACATTTTCACAACACCATACTACTCATATTCACATAGCAAGTTCAATACGTGAACACGACTTGATATTTGTTCAATTAATTGTCCATTTTACAATTTTTTTTCGAGTACTTCCTTGACGAACCTGGGACTTGACTGGTGGTCAAAACACTGTGATTTTTGCCGTTCGATTTTCTAGATCTTTACACAGATAATTTTATATCCAATCATATTTACATATTTAGCGCCTTGTTTTTTTGACTGTTCGTAAATATTATGACAAAAATACCCATAAAATCTTAAAAGCATTTAAAATAGGTGACAGGCACAGTATATCACTTTTACTCCACTTTGTAGACGTTATTACCATCAAGAGCTTTCAATCTGACCTTTGTATACAGAAAGAGTGGTGAACCTATCATTGCCATAATAAGATAGTCATATTATTTTAACGTTTGTTAGTTAAATTATCTTTTAATTAGAGTTTATAACTCAAAGTAATAATCCTATTGATATTCATTCACGACTTTGCCTTTATTTTATGTTAAATAGGTACCTTATTTATCACTCATTTGGTAATAACTTTTTTTTACTCATTATCTCTTTATTGTCGTTTCAAACTTCATTCATTTCTCCATTGTTATGGTTTCATCTTCAACATACAAGTACTGATCAGTCTTAATTAATATGTCAAATATGTTATTTCCTTTTGTTACTTAAGTTGTTTCGAACTTAACTTCATTGTATGTATAGTATGTATTGAGAACATTTTTATCATAATAATACTGAAGTAAATTTAGACAATTTGCATCCGATGAGAAACCTCAAAATGTAATGAATTCACTTTATTCACCAAATCTTGTTCTACTTGTTTTGTTTAGATTTATCAAGGGATGTATGAGATGTATGGGGATGTATGAAATGACAAATCTTTTCTAAGACAACACATTAGCTGAAAAGAATGATAAGTTCACAGGGACACATAATTCATGTCAATGATAGTATTTTTATGTTCTTATTGCTATAAGGATGAATACAGTAATAAAATTGTAACGAAGCAAGTATTTTGATATACTTGACTTGTTTAAACTGTACAATCAAGGTACTATTCATTCATCACATCTTTAATCGTTTTGTTGAGAAAATCACATTTTCTCCGAACTTGTAGATAAGCTTTACCTTAAAGTGTAGGACCTGTATCTTGTAAATTGTCTTCAATTTATCTTTAACAACAATACACGCCAATGTTATTATCACTGAACAGTTATGACCAAATTATATACCTAATACATAGAATTCGTTCAATAAGAGAGACTCAGTTAAATGCTACTAGTTAACTAATTACCAATTCATACAATAATAATACATAAGGTTTGACCATATCAAATTATATCAAATGACAGTTGACAAGTTAGAAATAATGTAAATGAAACTGCAGATTCATATAATAAATAATCAAAATCTTCATATTGACTTACCATATGTTTGTTGAACAACATCCATTTCCTTTAAATTCAATAATAATATTTACTTTTTATGTGTAGATCTAGATTTAGACGACTAACCAACTAAACATTTGTTATTCAATTATAGTCTAAGATATACGATCACGTTGTGTAATACTATTAATGAAGATGATGTTATGTATTGTGAATGAATTTTGAATATTGAGTAAAGCAATTAATGTAAAAGTTTGTATAGATTTATATGTACGTGTGTATGTGTATGCCTAGTTGAAATTTTGGAGACACTCCGAAAATTAATGAAGATTGGCCATCATTAATATAAGGTCGTTAATGTTAGAATAATACTACTCAATGTTTGTCTGGTCGTCTCAATGATTCTACCTCTTCTACACACATAAAAACACATACATACTTATACACAGATTTTTTTAGTATTGACTTCTCCCTTTAAATTTATATTGTTTATTGTTACTAATATTAAATATAGCGGTTTCGGTCTCGTAATATATGTTACCTTTTTTCTAACATGATGGTCAATAGTGAATTTTAAGGTACAAAATGAAGGGGGGGGGAGACAGCCAGAACATATAAAGCAGATTACTAAATACAATATATATGTGTATGACAGTTGACAAGTAATTTTTTCTGTCTACATAACACAGCTTACAAAAAGAGTTTGATGATAAACACAATCAAGATATGAGCCAATAAATGTGAGAAGCGATGTATACACGTGCAAAAATTAACTCTATAGTTTTTGTTTGTTTATCATTCTCACAAGTTAGTTAGTATTAGTAACAAAGGCACCTTTTCTTTATGAGCATTTCAATGATGTGGTTTTTCTGCTCTTCCTTCCAATTCAACCTATCGCCTTTAATAATAAATATTCTTACATGCTCACACGTATACAATAATATACGAGAGATAATTTGTGTATATTTAATAGGTTAACTAACATAGATAAACATATACATACACATAAGCGAGTTGTTTATCCTATCACTAAAGCTCATTCATCTGTTTCGCTTACTACCTTCTTTCAAGGATGTTTATTCTCAAATCAGAAATGTTTGAGAAATATTTTACTATCCGTTTTCTTTGTTTATATATATATATATATATATATATATATGCTGCTCAGCGATATTTTTAGACTGAATTCAAACCTTAGGATGAAAACACGTGTGTTTTCCTTCCATAAAGTAATAATGGATACTGTTGAAGTCACGTGTTACTTAGATATGTTTATAAACTCTAAATAGGTACATGATTAAACATACCTTTTCATTATGATCTGGGATAAGCTGAAAAAAACAGGTGAAAATCCAATAGCACTGAACGGTATTTTGGTTTTAATCCAATACTTTTCTATGGTGGAGCAAAGCTATAAAATCTCAATGGGATTGACCATAATCGATTACTTCATGAACTGATTCCATACCATCATTTTCAACCCTGATATTAATCTGATACAAATATATGAAAACAAGATAAAATATACTTGACAATTTGTCATGAATTCTTAAAGGAACATCAACCAAAGTTTCCAATCTTGTGTATTAAGCCTCGTAAATACATTTAACTAGAGCAGAGTAGATAGGATCTAGTATGTTGAATTTAAATATGAATACTTTTTTTGGATTAGAAATCGTTTGGATCAAGGTATTGCTAAATTCGTTTGGCAAACCCCATTCCTATTCAAATGATTACAGATTCGAAATATTGATCAATAGCGGAAAGTATTTTAGTCATTAAGATATGAAATAAACTACTATCTACAATAAAAAGAAACACAGCTCTATAACATAATCATTTGATTATTTTTCAAATTAATAAACAGTATTAAGTTAAGTTTTATACTAAGGAAATTGTCAGTGATATCGACTTGTCATTACAGAACTAATAATCTCCAGAATAACCTTTCCTTTTCTCTAAGTTACCTTGAAGAATTTTGGACATTGTCGAACTCAGTAACAAGTAAAAACAAATACGGAATGAAAATATTTGTCTTATATTCCCTTTAAACTAACAGATTATTGTTAGATTTTATTTGAAAAGGTATCTGTTTTGGTGACCTACTAATCTATAAAATGAATTATATTTGACTAACTTGATCACTATAATATCATCTAGTTTACTCAACATTTAGAAAGACTTATATTTAGTTGTCATATAAATGAATCCATTTATAAACAATGTTAAGATATGAAAAGTAGTATCATTTAAAAGTCAGTATATTTATTTTCGTTTATGCAATAAAATATGAATTTACTTGTCATCACGAATGAACATAAATTGATGAATCATTAAAAACCTAGGGGTTGAATGATGTGTAATATTGTTAGTATACACTGTTTAAATGCTAGGGTATAGTTACTAACTGTTGTTTACTGCTTCCAACTGATAGTTCATTTGATGTTGGTCCATTGTGAAAATTACTTTCAACTATACAACATTTTCCAAAAAACCTCATAGACATTATAAAAAAGTGTGTAAATGTGTTATTTTACCTTTCTGTATATAACTATTCATTACATGTGACAAAAAGTAATGGTGACAATAAAAGCCTTACAAGTAATTAAATACGTAAGTATTTGTTCACACTGATTTAATTATTCAACTTTTAAATTCTGTGTAATAAGTTTAACTTCAGCCTAACCGATTTCTTTTAACAAACCCTAGTTACAATTCATGAAGCTATATAATTTGTATCACTAAAGGCCTAATAGATCAATTTGCTATTGTTTATTGAATTTGTTATCATTACCGCTCAAAGATGAAACATGGTAGACTCGATAGGGATGAACAATATATCTAACCCATGATCGAACGTTATTCATAATTCTTATATACAATAATAAAACTAATCAATTTCAATGAATTATTTAAAAGAGATTTTTGTATATTTCAAAATTGTTTTTTTAATGAACTGATATTAGTTGGCAAACGACTAAAACTTAGCAAGCACTAAGCAAGTGATTCGTTTTCTGGTTTGAGATTCTTCAACTGCGTGCAATCATCATTTTACCTAAAATCTAAACTATGTACTTAAAAAAAATGAATAGTTATGAAAAGGAATGAAAAATAGTGGGTAGTTGGTTTAATCAAGTGTATTAAGTAAGACACTTGATAATGTTACCTTATATCGGGAATTGACTGAGGTTAAAATATAAACCAGTAGTAGTATTAAGTTAAAGAGTTCACAACAGCCTAGTTTGTTCTTGGTTCAGTCACTCACGAATGTGAAAATAGAAGGAAAAAGTCATCCGTCTTCCCCTTGTTTTCACTAGTTATTTGACTGGATTCACTTGACAATGTTTTATTAATAAATGTTAAACAATAACATGTTTGTCTAGTCATTGATAGTAAAAGACTTGTATGTCATTTAGGCCACTAGTCTAAGTGATTTAAATCCAACAGAGAGCATCAGCTTCTTCAAGCGCTCATTTACGCTTTGTTGACGAGCACCACATAGCTCGGAACCACCTCCGACCATCTAATATAAAGTCACCAATACGAATGATCTCCAATATAAATGAACAGAGACTTTTGACAATGCGATAACACAAACGTTTCCACACAGGTCGCATAGGTACTGGGTAAGTAAGGGGAACAAATGTGAACTATCCACTCTAAATAAAATATTCATCTAATTCAGGCCATCACCCATATATCCGTCTATTTGTATTACCCATTACTTATTTATAGTTTTACTTTACCTTTAACAGGTGATTTTCTTACATTCACTCTCATAGTATTATTACTCCATATAAGGGTTGAGCAAGCGTTAGGAAGGGTATATTGTGAACTTATCAAACATAAGTCAACAACAACGCCGATAAAATCTTATCACTGTGAGAAATGTTATAAAGTCATCGTCTGATCTCTAGAAAAGTCATTTGATGCTCAAAACTAAGAAATCAACCGGTGAAGATATCAATTTTAAAAAATATATTACTGCAGCCTTTTTTCTTTTCTTTAGTGGGAACAAAAAAACATTTAAAGGGGAAATTAATCTCATTCTATTATTTTAGAGTGAAAGACAAATTAGGAAGAAGAAATAGTAGTAGTAGTAGTAGTAGTAGTAGTAGTAGAAGCATTAGCGTAAGATAAGACAGCAATAATGAAAAAATAATAAATCACGCGCAAAGTAACGGTCAACTAAAGAAGTTATGGATAAGAGTGATAGAGAAACAGGACACATTGATTTTCTTTAAGACGTTATGTTTATTATCTCTACCGTTTCATACCATGACGGATAATAGTATGATTGGTTATTTTGTTAAGAAAACAAAACAACAAAGAATAAGAAATTGAGAAAGCAGAAAGTGATTTCCTTAAGAAGTGAATTTTCTCTTCCTCCTAATTTCAAAAATATTCCCTACTAATTTTATCTACGCATTTAATAGTCCTTTGTACAGAATAACTTATTTTATATTAAATATAATTGATTTATTTGGTTAGTATTAGTTCGTATGGGAGATAGAAGGTTTGTAGAGATTGTCAAATTTTGTAGTTTACATCACGAAGTAACCTTAGCTAGACAACCTATGAACGTCAAGGGACACTGACTGAAATGAATGAAGTACAGTACCTACAGCCAAATGTCATTTCTTAAAACTGTAATTAATATATTACAAACAGGAGTCATGCACAAAAATAACGAAGTAATACTAGCTGATTACTAAAATCACCAACTTTTTATTCAGCTAAAAACTCAATATGTAAGGTAATGAGGACTTATTGCTGGTGATCCCTTAACCAGAATAAATCAGCTGTTCAATAAGTATTCAATTTAATTAGTTCTCTTTATCCGTCGATAGTTCGTAATGAAATTGACGTTCAACTATTATCTTTAAGATTCAAAATTTAACTTCCGTATATCTCTACTATACATATATATATGCAATGATGTGTACATTAGTCTGAATATTGTTTCCTTTAATTATTCATTTCCTATTGAATTATGCCTTCTTTACATCCCATTGTAATAATGATTGTATAACTCTAATGAGTTGGGGATAATTGATTTTTTTA